TTTAATTGCTTAAACAATTAAAACAATGGTTTCCAAACCACCATGGGATTTGAGATTGAAATGAGAAAACCAAAACTACTGTATACCTGCTACACATATTTAGGCTCAAAGTGTTAAAATAGAGGGAAAAATTTATAAAAACTCCAGATAGAAGCATTATATTGGCAATTAATGAAGTTTCTGCTGACAGTACATTTCTGTTTGATCGACTTGGTAGCACACCTGACCAACAGTCATGGGATGAAAGATTAGCAGTTTCTAAACTACTGGTTAACAACTTTTAAATGTGACAATTAGCAAAAGCAGACGTCTGTAATGGAGTAAATACTGTTTGAAGATATTGTGTAATCAGCAGCCATGTTGTTTGCCCTTATTAAAAGACAGCGAATGCAGAAATAACAACCCACACTGTGCCTCTGAGAGGAGACAGACAGCAAAGTCCATAAAACCACAAAACAAACTCTGCAGACTGACTCAGGCGGCGGCTCTTATTGCAATATCCATTTTATTGTTCTCTTCACACAAAAAAATTACAAAACAGAGGGGTTTGCAGCAACAGGATCAAAAAGAAATGTGGTCTTCCCTCAGAGCTGCAGATCTGACGGAGACTGTTGCTTTTTGTTCACAAATCAGTCAACCTCTGCGCGTTTTATTCTTTGATTTCTAACAAGTTTGCCAAAGAATTTACGGGGAAGCGGAGCAGCGCGGCTGACAGCTGAACAAAAGAACAAATCTGCATCTTCATGAGGGGCTTTGACTTCTGGGATTCATTCGTTTCAACCTCTTTAGTGGAGCTGACGCAGTGCTCACACAGTGAACACTGACAGGGAGTGCATCTGAAGATCTAGGAGCATCTAGTACAGAACGTAACTAGAAAGTTATCACACGTCTCCATGGAGATTATTTTAAGGCATTACTGCTGCAGCGGGGCATGGCGCATGAGAAATAAAAAACAAATATTATGGAGCTAACATGGTACATCTGAGCAAACTTCACATCTGGACTTAAAGGATTATTTTTTCATTTCACCTCAGACAAAGGGGTGAGCAAGTCTGCAAAGTTTTTCTTGGTTACAGTTAAAAAAGCTTACTGTACATCAAAACTTAAAAGATAGAAACATCTTCAGTTTCTTATGAACAAAAAATGAACTTCTGAAGTGTCAGCAAGCTTTATGAATCCATTCATCTGGCAGAAATCTCTAGCAATAATGCACATTTTGTCTTTGATGGAGCTAATCCTGAAGTGGCTTACGGAGGAACAGATTTACATTCACCTTAAGTCATCTTACCATGCATAAAGTTGTACACAGCAAAAAATTTAAAAAAAGAAAAGTCAATTTTTCTTAAAATAAGTGCATTTTTTCTTGGATTGAGGAGTTAGAACAAGACTATTTAAATTTAAGAAAAAAAACAATTGCATTGTCTTATTTCATGTGCATATTATCCAGTTATCCTATTTAAAGCATAAAAAATACTCATTCCGTTGCCAAATCATCTTATTTAGCTGCTCAAATTAAGAGGTAAATACACTTAATTTAAGAAATTTTGACAAACTTCTTCATCATTTTTGCAGTGTAATGTTCCTTTGTTCACTGCTTGACAGCCACATAAAAGAAAATGAACATGTGATTAATTTGTTTTCATCACTGAGAACTGGATCAAGTAAAAAGAACAAAAATTCAGACATTAAAAGAGAAACTATGATTGTTGGTGCAGTCATGGATAAAACTAAGTACACCCCATGATATGTATGCTGGTGGAACCGGTTACTTTTGCATATGAAGCGTTAATCACCCTTTTTTCAGTTTTGGACATACCAACAGGGGTAATCTTTAGACATTTTAGTCAACTTTATGTTGTAAGATGGATTACCTGAGCCCATGGTAAACTGTTTTGCTGATATGAGTTCTTGCAGCTTCTATAATAGACAGAAACTGAGGGGTGGAGAGATGGAACATGTTGTTCCTCTGAGTGCACGCAAAGCTCACTTAACAATAGCTGCACGTAAATAGGAAACATCTGTTCTTAAAATATAAAACTCTTTGTGGAACACATAGTTTTTTCACAGATCTATTAAGGAAGAACTCACAGGAAGTGATTCCATTTAGTTTAAAAGTTGAAGCATCCCAAAAAATCCGAGCTCTTGGACTTTGGATGTTGTACCAATCTGCAAGAGCCTCAGCCCTAATTCTATGACATTTTCTCTAACTTATTAAATCAAAGTGTTCAAATATTTCTGTTCTTATATGATATATCGTTTTTAATGTGGATCTGCTTTATTAATGGAATGGAAAGTTCCATAGGATTATAAGCCGGAAAGAGTTTAAGTGAATTAAGAGTGTAAAAACTATTCCACTGTCTTGACAGTTATGGTTGTGCTGATGGAAGTTATTTCAGCTATACATTTTACTTTCAGTCATGACATCATTACATATTACTACTTTTCTTTGTTCACCTGGGAGTCACAGATTCTTCAGCAGCAACTGATGCTAATCGTGCATCTAGCTTCTGGTCCACTACTAACTGCTGTTTGATCCCCTACTTTTAAAAGAGAAAGATACTGGTGTATTCACCCTCTGGATAATAGAGAAACATTGTTTTGATATATAATTAAAATTTCTATGAAATGCCAAATGAATGTTTTACTTCAGCTGGTGATGAAAATAAACTGACTAACATCTGCCAATATTCAGCTGGAATGTTTTTGACCCTCTGTTCAAAAACTCAGGAATCCAATCTTTTTCTATTAATTAAATGGACTCTCTAAATTTAATTTTACAACTCTATTCAGTGTTTGGAGAGAAATGTGTTCCAATATTGCTGAAAGCAAAGATGTTTACAAAGAAAGAAAAATTTGAAGAAAGTGCTTTTAAAAAATGTAGCTTTGAAATTTTGGGCTGTTGTTTGTTATTGTTATTAACTGCAATCTTTACAAGTCCCATTTTATTAATTTTGTCCCATACATTTCTGGGTGGTCGGTCGCTAACGTCGTCGCTAACATCTGAGGAAATCACACATCTTCTTTTGGTGTAATCTGATTTAACAAGAATGCTATTTTCCCATAAGAAATGCTTGTGAAAATAAACCCCCATAAAAAACTTTGAAAAATAGGTTTAAAAAACAAAACAAAAGAACATAAAAAATATATAAATAGTGGTTGAAATTCTGCATACACGTAAAAATTAGTTCTTAAAATCTTATTTTTTTTAAAAGTTTCATTTTGTAAATGCATTTCTTTTGAATTTCTTTTTGTGGAACATGTTCTCTGCTTTCATAAATAACAGAAAACATTTCTCTACATATAAGTAGATTCCAAATGGTTTGAAAATGAGCCTCTAAAGTCAGTGCTGTTGTCTTTATGCTTTCCTGTCATGTCGTCAGTTTCGTTTTGTATCTCTGCTTCTGTCTCCTTGAACCCCAGTCTGCCTCAGCAGATGGCCGCTCACACTGAGCCTGGTTCTGCTGGAGGTTTGTTCCTGTTAAAAGGGAGTTTTTCCTCTCCACTGTCGCTACAAGCATGCTTAGTGTGAGGGATTGCCTTTGAGTCAATGAGTCGATGCAATCAACTGGTTTTCCTTAGATAGAAAACTTTTATTCAATTTGACTGTATGATCTGATGAGCTGTAAAGTGCCTTGAGATGACATGTGTTGTGAATTGGCGCTATAGAAATAAATTGAATTAAATTGTTTACATATTACTGTTTTCTCCTTTCTAGAAACCTGTCCGAACTCCTTTTGCTATGAAGATAGATACACCTCTTGGTAATCAATTAATAAGGTGCATTTAATTGACAGCAACTATGTGCTACTTTCACCCTCCTATGAGAGCTAATAGGGTGTACTTAGGTTTTCCCAGGGCTGCATAATGGCCCGACCATAGGAACTGATGGGACACTTTCCCTTTACAGGTCGATTCAATGTTTCAGGTGTTTCTCAAACTATCTGCTGTTGACATGAGTAAATCAGCGACATCAGAATACACGTTCTGCTTTGAAATAAAATAATATGCTTATACCAAATTTCAGCAAGCAAAAATAAAAAAAAATATGCTGCCAAGTACAAAAATGACTCTATTTACAGTATCATACAAGATGCAGGGTTACAAAGTGGATGTAGAGAATTAAGGGTACTGTAACACCAAGTGTTGCTGTGTATAGTTGTGCATTTTGTGCTTTAGAGTTGTAGTTGCTTGCAAAAGCATTCATATCCCTTGAACCCTTGCCATTTTAATCAAGTTATAACTGCAAACCTTGAGAGATTTGGTTGGTATTTTATGAGACGCATAATTTAGGAGAGGTATGGAAATGATTCTTGGGTTTTCTAAATTTTTTCACAATAAAAATCTCAAAAGTGAATCGGAGATTTATATTAAAGCCTCCTGAATCAGCTTGTTCTAGAACGACCACACTCACTGCGATTAAATCATCAAGCTTTTGGGGGTCGGGGGAGAAATTTACATGATATTCTAAAGTAGATTTTGGTTTGGACCTTAACTGGGCCACACAATCTAAATCATTCCCAACTGATTTTTCTACCAGGAATTCTCTATTTATCTCACCTACCTGTTAATACTGACCCGACTCAATCTTCGTTAGGAAAATAAAGCATGGCCACAACATGGTGCTACCAACACTAGGTTTTTCAGAGGGAATGATTTGTTCAAATCAGAGATGCACAATATATCAAAATTACAATTTTTCTTGTTTTCCTTCAAACTTGGTGTGTTGTCTAATTCCTCTCATGTTTACACATTCTCTGAAGTGAGCCATTGATTTCTGCAGCTCTTTCAAAGTTAGAACAGACTTCTCTCTCTCAGATGAATGCTGTTATTGCTTTTTCATTTACTATATTCATTGATTATTAAAAAAAATAACTGAATGTACTGGATTTCATTTTATAGTGTCAGAATGAAAGGGGTGGATACAAATACAGTTTTCACATTTTTATTTGTTAAATTACCTTAAAACTATCTTCTTGATTTTCTTTCTGATGAACGATATTAAAGCTTAAGGATGTAATGTAAAAGAAAAATGTGAAAAAGTTCAAGAATTAAATGTTTTTGCAGAGCACTGAATGACACTCACATGATCTGTAAAAACAGTTTTTTTTTCTTTGTGTTAATGCATCAGTAATCCAGCAGGGGGAGACATTTCACAGCAAAATGATAGCACTCTAACTAGGGGGAAAGCTAAATGGAGATGAAGTGAGGGTCAAGGAGCTAATGCTGGAGTGTGCAAATCAAATTCAGCAAAACTGTCTCACCACGCGCGGCACTCGTGGCATCTACGCATTATATACAGATCAGTGAGGTGAATCAGTCAGAAATGTTGCATTAGGGAGAGTTTATAGAAACAAAAGGGAAACCCCTTTTGCTGATCTTCAAAACCGAAACGTCATACAGCATGGAAAAAAACAAAACAACAAAAACGCTCTGGCTCCTGGATGTAAAAGCAGTTATTGGGCTTCCATCAGGAGCTTACCTTTATTCCATAGTGCTTATTTGATCATTTTGGTCCATTTGAGCCTGTCTTTGTTGGACAAGAGAGACGTTTCTCCTGTTTGCTTTTGTCTGTTGCATTAGCTGAAATGTGTGCTTTGATCAGGGTGGACCCCATGCAGAGCTGAGTGGGATACCCAAAAGATTAGGATAAGACAAAAAACAAAACAAAAAACAAAACAAGTGCTTGAGTGTTTCTGAGTGGATGGCTCGGATGAAAGTTTCTCTTTTTAATAGGTAATTCTCAGTTTGACACATTTCCCGAAGCGAGCGTCTTTGGTCCAACATGGCAACCTCCTGGCGGCGCACCTTCCTGTTTGTATTGGGAGTGCACCGTCACTTCTAGCTGTCAAATCCTGCATCTTTTTTGGCAGGTGTCAACTCATTGATACAAAAAAAGGTGGAAAATCTTTGAAGTCACAGTTTGATGTTTTCCCTCAGAAGAAAAAAAAATATTGTGACTAATTAGGTATAAAAGTGATTTACTGATAAGAGCTTATGCAGCTCTCAGTTGATTGTTGTCAGTATTTGCCTTAAAAGAAAAAAGTCTTAAAGTTTGCCTATCGGTTCCCCGGCAGTAATTGGAGGTGGTACAGGGTCTAGACCTGGGTGGAATAGGAGCGGTGCAGCGTTGCGCTCCGGCCAGCCCCGTGGGCCGCGCAGTGTGGCGAGTGCTGCTCCGGCTGGTCTAGACTTCGCTGGAAATGGAGCGAGACGGTACGAGGACATCGGGAGTGGCGGGGAACCGATAGGGCTGATGGTCATGTGATCTCTGTGAACGGAGATTCCCGCGAAGTCTGCAGGGGTAGAGAAAGGAGTGAGAAGGAGAGAGAGGTGGGGAAGGGAGGGTGAAGAGGAAAGAAAAGGGGGAGGTGGAGAGAAGAATAATCCTATGCAATGTGCAGAATGAGTTTGTAGGAAGAGAGGATGTACGAACAGGAATAAGACAGAGATAATGAGGGATAACGGTGACAAAAAGGGTTCAGGTTTGGTTAGAATGGTTGCATGTAGGCATTGAAAGGCGGAGGGGAGGCAGAGAGTGCAGGATGCTGGAGGGGAGTGAAGGATTGAGAGGAGAAGGACAAAGTGGGAGACAGAGGAAAAGAAGCAGTAAGGTGAGGGTTAGTGACAAAGACAGACCACAGAGGAAGGAAGACATTCACACAGCCACTCAGACAGCACCCCTTTGAGAAACGCTTTGGGTCATCCAGACCTTTTTCGGAGAGGATAAAACCTTCATGGGCATTTACTGTCTGTTAGTCCTGGAGGGCGAACCGCCTTCTTTCACTGTCAGACTGCTGACGCATGCCAGGAGGTCTGGCCCTCTAACCCAACAGTGACAAGGGAAGCAGAATGAATGCATATGATGCATCCTGCCTCTTCATTTAAAGAGTTGAACGAATAACAAAAGTCCTTTTGTGTCTTTATTTATTGTTTTTACTCTGCAAAAGCCTACAACTCTCATGTGAACCTGAGCACAATGTCTCATCTCCGTAGCATATTGCTGCCACCACCATGCTAATCACTGAGGGCGGTGTGTTTGGGGAGATGTATGCTGTTATGCAACACACATGTTTTGAATAAAGGCTAACAAATTCAGCTCTTTTCTCATATGACCGTAGCACCAACTACAATTCACAGGTGAGTTCACTCTGAAGGCGATTTTCACGCCAGAGTGAATGATTTACATTGTCCTTATGTTTTTAGGAGCTCTGGGAGATCAAGGGAGGCGAAGGAAGCGAATACAGTGAAGGGAGGGTGCCGCTGCACCTTCGAAGGTTGCAAAGCGATATTCGCTGGAGTTGAAAACAAAATTTTTCTGTATTTTTCAATTGCAGATAAACAATCAGGGAATAGATGCAGCTATGACGTAAAGGAGTTCATTGAAGAAAATATTTTCTCAGTCAAAATGGAAAAAAAGAGAAAATAATGTGGACAAAAGATCAAGTTGGAAATTCTCTTAAGAGGTTTTTAGGGGGCTTTATAAGAAATTAGAAGGACTGCTAAATCATTCGTTATATGTTGTCCTTCCTTCGCTGCAGTGCAGACACTGGTCAGCCGCTGGCAACTCTCTCTTCTGGGTTCTCCACCTGGTGAACTTCTCTGTTGTACCTCTATCCCCCTTCGATCTCCCAATATTAGCCTGCAGACCTAATCGTTACCTCTCCTCCAATCTGGCAATCTCTCTGACCAATGAACTGCTCCACGGGAAGCCGATGTGATCCAGCTGTAGCTCCTGGCCTCCCAAAGCTAGAAGCATCAATAGAGGATCTTGTGGATCTAGAGAAACCCCTGCCTTAGACTTTGTTTGGCTTTCAAAAAGAAATAAAGCACTCTACAAAATCCACATTCTCCATGTTACAGTGAAACTTAACAACCAGCAGATTATCTGATGTGAATGAGCCTTTCACCTGCCCTGTAAATTTTTCCACCATCTCTACTACTGTTGCTCACCAGGGAAATTTCTTGTGCAAAGTCAGATGAGCAAAGGCCGTAAATTGGTGGTTTTTGTTGTTGTTTAGGGGTTCTATGAAGGCACCAGTAGGTATATTAAAACTTTTCTCACTATCGCCTTCTCTCTTTGTGCTCCTAAATGCTCCAGAACATCTTTCCAAGGGGGTGAGAGGACTCGTTGATCAAAAGTAACATTTATATGAAGTTGTTGATGCTCTCTTGGAAAGATTGAAACGAAAAAAAAAAAAAAGGATCTTTAACAGATTTGCCAGGTTTTCCCCTTTATTTGTAAGGAATGATGTGAAGTTTTACTAAGATATGAGTCATCCTCTGCCTTAGTTCACACAAAGAATATCTTTGCAGAGTTTTTTAAGCTTTCAGCTTAAGTGTGCAAAGATTGAAAGGATTCATTCGGGTCTCTAATTCATAGGCTGCATGCATGCTTATTTTGTTAGAGTGCAGGAAAAGGGAGGATAACGATTTATCTCAGCCATTTGGTGGGCACAGTTTCGCTTTACACCCACCCTTACCTGAGGGCCACTTAACTTTTCGAGTGGACTTTCCATACAGGGCAGTGTCACCATGGGCATGCCCAGCATTGATTCAGGGCGTTGTGGTTGCAGTGGAGGGAGGCTTGGCTGAAACTGTTGGAAGTTGTTAATGACACAGGTCACCTGTAGAGCGATGGAGAAAAAAAAGTCAGACCAGATACTACCTTTCGCTGACCCGAACATTTTGATTAGTCATTTGAAAATCATGACTTGTGTCAACTCGCTTTGAGTTTTGCAGGAAGAAATTGGGCCAGACTTGTGGCAGAGACACAATCAAAGCAACAGAGACACCTCAGCTTTTCAAATCTGACATCAAAAGAGGTACCAAGTCCGACGAAGACATCTTAAAGGAATAGTACACCCAAAACATGATTAGCCTTCATTTTCTACTCACCCCCATGCTGAACAACACTCTGGAGTACTTTTTTGATATCTCAAATGCATCTGGAGATCTGGGAGGCTTCTTGCTGTCTGCTGACATTCAAATAAAGGAGGTCTATGGTGCCCGAGACAGAAAGGTCCATAAAAGTCCCCAAAAACGTGTCAATATTCCTCCATACTGCTCGTCAAATGTATTCCAAGTGTTCTGAGTGGGTAGCATCCACAATTTACTTGAAACGAAGTCATTTAGAATGTTTTTAGAGCATAAACAGTAGTGTATAGGATTTCCTAAAAGCTTGTTCACGAGTCTACGGAAACCGCGGCAGACCAAACCAGACGAAAGTGCGCATTCAGCTCAGCAAAGAACTCATGCTCTTCCTCAACACTGAAGTCCTCAGACATTTTTCTTTCGTTGTTTCTTTCTTTGCACAGGTAAACAGCACATTTCTTCTTCTACGCTTGCATTATCGGCAGAGCAGATGCTGAATGCACACTTTTATCTGGTTTGGTCTGCCGCGGTTTCCGTAGACTCGTGAACTCGCTTTTAGGAAATCCTATACACTACTGTTTATGCTCTAAAAACATTCTAAATGACTTTGTTTCGAGTAAATTATGGACGCTACCCACTCAGAACACTTGGAATACATTGGACAAGCAGTATGGAGGAATATTAAAACCTTTTTTGTGGACTTTTATGGACCTTTCTGCCTCGGGCACCATAGACCTCCATTATTTGAATGTCAGCAGACAGCAAGAAGCCTCCCAGATCTCCAGATGCATTTGAGATATCAAAAAAGTACTCCAGAGTGTTGTTCAGCATGGGGGTGAGTAGAAAATGAAAGCTAATCATGTTTTGGGTGTACTATTCCTTTAAGTGAATCAAGCTTTACAATTTGGTTTTTGATGATTTCTGATCATCCCATATGTTTTACTGTAATCTGAAAGGCAGTCAGAGAAGCTAATGGTTAGCTAACCAGATGCTGACAATTTATTTCAATAAGGCTTTTAACGATAATATGTTTATGTTTATATATTCTGTGATTCGGTGATCATATTTGACTGCTAAAATGCGGCTGAAAAGTCCTTTAAAACAAGTTGCCTCGTGATTGTTAGCTATTAGTTCCATTGTCTTAATAAGCTAAACCCAGCTAAACAAAGCTAATGTTGGGATCTGGAGGCTTGTCTACCTTTCTCCCCCAGAGGGAGCCTGAGATCTTCCTCCTGAGGGCATGAGCTGACTTCTGCACACCTGTTTCCCATCTGCTCATCTGGAGGCTTTCTTAAGGAGGAGGAGGCTGACACTTCCCTGCCAGAGTGTTTGCCAGTAATGGTACCAGCAAACCTGAGCCAGCTAACTCTGATCTGTTTCTCTGAATTTTTTGAGAACCTGTCTGACCCTGTGTTCTTCTGCCTCTCAGATCCTGACTATCTGGTTATCAGTCAAACCCTGGAGAGATCTATCGCTGCCTGGAACCTGCCAGTCTGCCCTCCTCCATAAGGGTCACTGTCCATTGTTATTCCCTCAGGAATAACCTTATAAGGTTAGAAATCAGCTATCTAAATTTTTATTGATTTCTGATTAGAGGAATTATTGAACGCAATATCAGTTTACCAGTGTTTTTATTACCAGTTAGATTTTAATCAAAATACATTTTAAGATATTCTACTCGCTGTAAATTATACCCCATTTACCCCATTTTGAAACAGTGCCGAGATCGGTCAGAGCACGGTAACCGAGAAAACTGTTGCGTGTAAATGGCACGCAAACTGAACAGGACAGAGCCGGACACAACTGAACCGCGCTAACATGGTACTAGTTCATCAGTAGGGCTCAGTGCGGTTCAGTTCTGACTCAGTTCTCAGATAACAAAGAGCGTGTGAGCAGACCATGCCATCTCCTTAGAGTCAGCCTCCATAATCATGAAATTTCAGACAATAATAAAAATACTAGCTTCCCTGTCGTGCTAAAGATTTCCATTGATGATTCTGCTTAGCAGTGGGATGAACCTCACCGGCTGTCGTTGTTTCCTGTGTCTGTAAGCTCTGAGTAGACTATTGTTTGTCATATCCACTTTCCAAAAGCCAACTCTGTCAAGTAACGTCACCAAAGTCTGCCTTCTTTGCCTGACTCTCGGCAAACAACGAAATACCACAATTATAACCAAACTTCCTAAATGTTACGGGCGCCGCCATGTTGATTTGCTTGTTAAAATGGTAAATGGCCTGTACTTATACAGGGCTTTTTCAAGTCAGGAAACTCACTCACTCACTCATACACTCACTCACACACTGATGAGCTTTCCCGGGGTTCACTGACAGAAGCGAGGCTGACATACACTGGCGCCACCGGGCCCTCTGACCACCATCAGTAGGCAATGCAGGTGAAGTGTCTTGAACAAGGATATAATGACACTGAAAGCCTGAGCTGAGGCTTAAACCATCAACTCTTCGATTTTAGGCCAAATTCCTAAACCTGACGCCACTGTTTACCTCTAGAGAGCAGAAGTACCGTCAATTATGGCTATGAGGCATGGAACCGTGCTAGGGTGATGTGTAAACAGTCATAAGGAAATGAGCTCGGCACGAATCGGTTTTCAGAGGGGTAGTGTAAATGGGGCTTTAGTTTAAATGCCAATTTTACCTCATTCCAAACTATGAAGAAAAACGTTGGTTCTCAAGAATAAAATCAATATGGAAGAGTGATATCATTGCTTAATTTTATTGATAAGGGTTGCATCCATCCATCCATCCATCCATCCTTCATCCATCCATCCATCATCCATCCATCCATCATCCATCCATCCATCCATCCATCCATCCATCCTTCATCCATCCATCCATCCATCCATCCATCCATCCATCCATCCATCCATCCATCCTCCATCCTTCATCCATCCATCCATCCATCATCCATCCATCCATCCATCCATCCATCCATCCATCATCCATCC